CCTTGGAAGTCAAAATGTAAGACTGGTTACACACTACTACTACTACGACTACGAGGGACGAACGGGTGCCGCTATAAGGAGCTTCGCCCCTAAAAAACACACTAAAAAAAAAACAGCCGTTCAGTTGAAAGCATGTGACCGCGCGCTTCTGCGCTCTATAGGCATGATTCACACATTTCAACGCTACGCTCTCGAGCACGGAATTACCTACCGTACTTACATGCTGCTGTGCGAACGAAGAGCAGCAGGGAGCCAAGTTAAAGCCTCCGAACCTTAAAGGAAGCGCATCTCGATGGAAACATTCATCGCGAGTTGCCTTTTTCATGCATTCGAAATAATAATGTGAAGCCACTATAGTCAATAATAATAATAATAATAACAATAATAACAATAAGAAGAAGAAGAAGAAGAAGAAGAAGAAGAAGAAGAAGAAGAAGAAGAAGAAGAAGAAGAAGAAGAAGAAGAAGAAGAAGAAGAAGAAGAAGAAGAAGAAGAAGAAGAAGAAGAAGAAGAAGAAGAAGAAGAAGAAGAAGAAGAAGAAGAAGAAGAAGAAGAAGAATAAGAAGAAGAATGGTTTGAAGTCCTAAAACGATGCTGCATGGCGTAGTGGAGGGCTCCGGGAATTTCTGCCATCAGCTGTCTTTAACACACTCTGTGAGTCTTCCCGACCGCAAAGTACATGAGCCTCCACCAGTCGCCTCCACCAAAGTGTGACCGCCGCAGCGAGGATCGAACCCGTGACCTTCAGGTCTGCATCTGAGCACCGTACACCTACAAATTACCGTTAAAGGACAGCTGCTATAGAGTTATAAATCGATTGTTTTATTCTGTGCACAGTATGTATCAGTATAGTTGGTCGCAGGTAACTGGTGTAGCGTATAATTATGTTTTAATGTAAGTGCTGTGGTAGTTATAGTAATAGACAGATATTGGTTAAATGCAGCATATGGCTCGTTTTTGGTATGTATACATGAACGTATTAGAGCATTCGTTATCTCTACTCCTGCGTCTAGTCTTCTTCGTCTACGAGCACTCAAAATAAATAAATAAATAAATAAATAACTAGGTAAATAAATAAATAAATAAATTCTTAAGTAAAGCATTGTGGCAATCCGTAATAGTTGTGTAAATGCAAAACCAATCGTGTGCCGTGCGGTGGTCCCTGCTTTGTTGGAAAAGGCAGAAACAGGAATGGGAACCATTGTCGTACCATTTACAGTAGATTCTCGTTCATAGATTTTTCTTATATACTTTTGTTGGGGTAATACGTTTTTGTTGCTTTTCACGTCTAACGTCTCGTAAGCACGTTGTATATTCACGCAGCCTATACAATTGCGTTTTCGATATAGAAATTGGATAATGTGATCGCAGACGCGTTCATCCACTGCATTTTCTAGTCATTACTTGGCTGTGTCTTTCTATACACAGTCAATTTCACTGACGTGTTTTACTATACAAGGTGACAGCTTTCTGTTTTCTTTTATTGTGGCGATGTGGAAGCTACAGAACTGACGAGCATACCTACTACTACGCCACAACTGAAGATAATACTTCAGTTGTTTAATAATTTTCTGATTCGCCTTGCTTAAATAAATTTCGCTTTATATGTTATGAGACTCGAAAAGTTGCGGGAAGTCATAAGCAAAGTATGGTTACTGTTAATTTTGCAGGAATGCATTCCTTTTTTTCGCATTTTGGAGACAGCATCAGATGTTCAGCTGCCCGTTTTCAAAAGTAAACATGGCGTCCATGACGTAGTTAGTCAGTGTGTGGCCGCAAACGCGCTGTTTAGTTTTCCAAGAGAAACATATTAGTAATACGACAATCTACACTGAACCATCGAAATGTTTCTCCCATTCGCATTTTCGTGTATATAATTTTCCAAGCGAGTTGACGACGTGAACGGGCAAAACCAAAATCAGCATCCAGCTGCTGTACCATTACTGTACCATTACTCAAAGAGCAACACAAATGAACGGGAGCAGTGCCTCCGTAGCCTTCGCTCAAATGTCAAGATGTCACCGGAATACAGCTTAGACAACACTTCTACCAATAATGGTATTGAGCGCAGTACACCTAATGCGGCTGCGTAGATGGCTGCATCGGGGCGCGAGAAAATGCCCACTCGGGCATAGCACATCGCTGATTCAAATGGGCGGTATGAAAACTTTGCTGAATAAATAAAAAAAACTGATTGGTGTAGCATGGTGTGATGCTTATTCCCGCAATCTCTTACGTTGAGAGGTGTCAATTATAAAGCGAGAAGAAGATTCTACCGTTATGTTTGCAACCAAGAAGGCATGTCTGTGCACGTCTCGGATCTTGCTTTAGATAATACAATTTTCGAATGATACGTTTCACTTTCACATTCTCCGGAGTATCAACGCGATTTCAATACATATATACTCCGGATTTAATTGATATGTGGAGTTTAACGTCCCAAAACCACCATTAGATTATGATAGACGCCGTAGTGGAGGGCTCCGGAAGTTTCGACCACCTGGGGTTCTTTAATGTGCACGCAAGTATGAGCACATGGGCCTACAACATTTCCGCCTCCATCGGAAATGCAGCCGCCGCAGCCGGGATTTGAACCCGCGCCCTGCGGGTCAGGAGCCGAGTACCTTAGCCACTAGACCACCGCGGCGGGGCACTCCGGGTTTAAGACATGCATTTCATTTTCTTTTTTTTTTTCAAAATTAAAGGTAATTCAAACAGATGCAAAGTCTTGTCAGGCTTTTTCTTCTTTTTTAGGGGATATCGAAGCCAATAAATATGAATGCAGCCCATATTGCAGCGTCTACGGCGCATTACGTGGTGACAGAGGGGGCACTGCATTTTACATGGCCGGGGCGAAGTTGTACCGGCAGACTCAGAAGGCTCAAATAGCAATACTTTCAGCAGGGACATATGGTTTTCTGTAAAACTAATGTTGCTTCGACTTTCACTGTTGCTTACCTCGACTGTCGACACGCAGGTCACGGGATCAAGTCCCGGCCGCGGCGGCTGCATCTTCCATGGAGGTGAAAATACTCGAGGCCCGCTGGGCTTCGATTTTGGTGCACGTTAAAAATCTCAAGTGGTCGAAATTTCCAGACACTCTCCAGTACGGTACCTCTCTTAATCATATCGTGGTTTCGGGACGTTAGAGCCGATGAATTATTGTGGATTCACTATTGCTTAAGCAAGTATATCGTCAGCCTTGATTAGCGTGATTGCATGACACCAGCTCTATCAGCACCACCACAATTTTGCGTGAGGGAAGTGGGTAATGTTTGCAGATGCGAGAGCCTTATACATGGCGAAAGGGCGTCATACAGTGACGTACACACGTGAAAAAAATAAATAAATGAGCGGCTGGGTGAAAAACTCAATTTCAACCCCAGAAAAATCTAGTGACAATACAAAAAGGTGAATTATCATCTGCCAGGGGTCAGCACCGGTATGTCTAGACCGATGTAATAATTTTTTGTACAATAAAGGTAGTAGTCTTTTGAACTCCAACATGAAGCATCCGGGAAGAGGTCAGTCATCCGTAGTCAATGATTACGAATGCAACATTTTCGATTCCCACATTTTGACGGGAGTGAACTGCGAAAGCGATTGGTTCCTTCGATTTCGGTGAACATTCTGGAGCGCCCCACTGTGGCGTTCCTCACTTTCACACCATGACTTTGGCACGAAAATCCCCTTAATTCCATCAATATTTTCTAAAGATGGAAGCGAGCAGTTCACCGTCACCAAATTCAAGATTAGCAAGGCGAATCCACGCGCCGCGCCAACGACGATGTCGTCTCTTATTAGATTAGCAGTACAGTGTCTAAATATATACTGCCAGTATATTTCTAGACACTGTAGTAGCAGCTTGCACTTATTATTTATTGTTCTTCATCTACAATTGACAGTGGCGCATACCCACTGTGGGGGATTGACCAAGAATTGAGTGGTTTGATAAAATAGTATGAAGAATTGCAATAATTGAGGTTATATAACGGAAGGATTACAGATTACCTAAAAATTTAGAGCGCTTGATCTAATGCATATATTTATGTTTTTTTTTTTAAATTGTCTGCCTTAAGTTAGAGCAATACCCCCATTTTTATATGTATATGATGTTTTAGACACGTTAGATAACAATATTGATTAGATAGCCAACCAATTAGTTTCATTAATATAACCCTTGACAGCCGGGCATACCTTCGCAAGGCAGAACCCAGAAACGGAGGCTTCAAAAGCTAAAATGACATGTACAAATAAATACGTACCAGTACCACGTTAAATTTATTTCTAAAATGGATCCTCATACTGTAGTAAACCGGTTGCAGGTCAAAAAGAAGTAATCTATTGTTTCTAGTGCACCACAGAACGCGCACAGTGGCGACAGTGCCTCATCTCATGGTTCACACCCAACGCAGGTGATTGACCAAGTCGTAGGTAATTTTTTTCAGTATATTACTCAGATATGCGAAAATAAGTAGTATAACGAATTTAAGTACGAATTATTCGTAAGAAAATATTTATCTGATGTAGAATTTATCAAAATACTCACATCGGCGTGTTAGCGACGTAATTCTACCAGGCCGAAGACCATGTGGTATTATTTAACGAAATTCATAAAACGCATTTTTATGGTGTAGCAATTAAAACGTATCATTTTGTAAAGTTTCCATTATAGAAACTCCTATATATTTAGAATTTATAAATAGTGGAATGCGCATATATGTAATTAATCCAGCGATTCTCAACAAATTAGGAATACATTTAGAAAGAATACGAATCATCTAAGTACTTTAAGCAAAGAAGACGACGATGACAAAATGAATTTGAGCGACCCGCCCCCTATTTCTAAGCGTGAGCGAACAACGAAAATTCGGCCGGACCACAGCCACGGCGACGTCGGCCCCGAGAGGGGGCCCTCAAATTTCCCGAACTCCACGCTTCGACGGCGTGCCGCGGGGCGTCGCGCCGTGCGTCCGCTTTGAACAGCTGGCGGGGCAGCAGGCGGCGGTCGAGGCGGCGTCGACGCCGGCGCGGCGAGGGGCCCAGCCGAGGCCACACACGGCGACGGGCCTGGAGGCGTCGGGAGACAGTGCGTGCCCGACCGCCGAGCGCAGCGGCCGCGAAAGTCCCCGCCTGCCGTACGCTCGTGTTGTCGACGCCTTCGTGGGACGGAGCGACCCTCGAACGACAAGATCGCCTCGGCGTCCCTGACCGACCTTCGGAAAAAAGCCCCGCGAGTCCAGTATAGCCACTTCGGCGTATTCTTCCCGCGCGGCGGAAGCCTCGTTTCCGACCGCGGACTTTCGTGAAACCCACGTGGTGCTCCACGCCTTTTGTCAAAACCGAAGCTACCGTCGCTCCCTCGTAGCCGTGCCTCGGACTTCGCGTGCGATTGCTCACCGTGGCGCCTCCTCCGTCATCACGAGAGCGCCGCGCACTTTGAAAAGAACGCCGTCGTCGGAACCGGCCGAAGGGAAGCAAGCGTACCGCCATGGAGGTGGCTCCGTACTTCTTGCTCCTGCTCGAGCTGCTGGGCGTCGTGGGGCGCTGCGTGTTGTCGGTGCTTGTGTACATGCTTCGACTTGTGGTTCCCGCGAGCCGCAAGTCGCTGCGCGACAAGCGCGTGCTCGTCACCGGAGCGGGACACGGGCTGGGACGCGAGATCGCCCTGCGTTGCGCGCAGCTCGGCGCCAAACTCGTCCTGCTCGACATCAACAAGGTGGGTGGATTTTGAAGGTGCGTTTTAGCACACTCCTACAAGTACGCCCGCCCAATATTCGACAATTTAAGCAGCTTTTGGGTGGGCGATTTTTTTTTTGTCGTGTTTTCCGGGCTATGAGTGGGTACGCGCATACAAGAGCAGTTTATTCAGTCGTTAGTGCGTCTCAGATGCTTATCGTTATGAGATAGCATTTGCGATATCGCTTATCAAAGTATGGCTTCACATACTTTCTGACTCTTAATTGTGCGCATTTTGTGCTGTAATACTTCCGCAGTTCTGAGGCTTTCTTTCGCAATATGCGCGTTGACATGTGCATAAGTATAGTCACACGTCCGCTGAAATAACGGAAGACACCCTCCCACCCGCTCCCCTCTCAGCGAAATGATCGCGCCTGCTCTCTCCCCTTTCTATAGAACAAGCATACCCAAAACAATGCCCGTAACGTCCTCAGCTCCCTGCCCCAACGACTCGCTGGCAGGACCCTTCCCCGCTCCCTCACCCTGTCTAGAAAAGAAAAATATAATGCAAAATAATAAATGCTGAGGTTTCACGTGCCAAAACAATGATATGAGGCACGCCATTGTGGAAGGCTCCAGCATTCATCGCTTCCATCGAAAATGCCGGAACCGAACCCGTGATCTTCGTGGGTCAGCAGCCGAGCATCTTAGCCAGCATACGGATCACCACGGAGGTTTTGTACCGTTTCCGTGGTGTTGTTGAAAGAAGCGGACTGAATGTGTACCTTTTTGTAAAGTCGAGTTTACCCGACCCCAACGTTTTTTTTTTTTCTTTTGCCCACTAACGCGCTGTTTAATCAAACTGAAAACGCGCCTATCTCAACTTTACAAGACGGCACCCGTGTACTGGGAGAAATGTATAAGAAAAAGGTCTTTAAGAAAACAAAACAACTTGTCAGATTGCGGCTCCCTCCCAATAGCATTCTTCAAAAGCCTGCAACGACCGCGGACTCATTCAAGGAGCAACCTCGACTCGACAATTTCGTCAACGCCGGGACACACCGGAATATTTTCATTTACGCCTAAGTTGAGCGTGAGAGAAAGAGCATTCTTTTCGAAGGTCACTTTCAGAACGCCTGTCAGGTGCATTAAAAGAGGCAGGAGGAAATAACTGTACGGGGTCGCATGCGACTCCGCGCACCGTCCTTGTGCTGTTGTTTACTAATAAAGCCGCGTGGGACGATCGGTAATTCGCAGTTTACGATTGTCTCGCTTGTTTTTCTTTGTTTACTGCCGATGAGTCATAAACTAAGTGTTTTGCCACTTCGTCCATTCGTGACTCAATACTAATGCATTGACGGTGTGATTGCCGCACTATCAAATGTCCAACTTCCCGCAAAATCTATTGATTAGTGGAGGGAGGAGAAGGGATATACAGTAGCTATGCTCTCCACTTTGGGAAAGCTTAGTCAATACCTTATCAGTCCCAATACCTGAGCAGCCCAAATTATCCTCTGTATTTTCTTTCTTTCAACGTAGCACACTGCAGACATGAGCGACGCTTTTGTAAACTGTCAAAGGCTGGTCTTAAGATTGAGGAAGCCACAAAAGGTTAATCCGTCTATGCCGGATTAATCCGTAATTTACGGATTAATTATCTGTGCTTTCCTTAATGTGCGCAGCTAGTACGGCATTCTAGCCATTCTCCCGCTGCTACTCTCAGATCAGTTAAACGACAAGCGAATTCGTGTAAGATCGATAAACCTTCCCTAAAAGCTTATCAATGCATGCGACGTTTGAGGCTTACCTATGCAGATAGAAAAAAAATATATCTTTCCCTTGCGTTCTAGCTCTCCAATGTTTTGACTTTTCGGAGCCGGCAGGTTTAGACCAAGGTAGCCGCGCATCTTATCTATGTCGCCCGCGTGTTAGACAGCATACGTGTTCGTGATAGGAGAAAGTTGCTTGCCAACAACGACCATCGTTACCCAGCAGCGCTGGGTAATGCCCAGCAATGGTAATGCCAACAACGACCATCATAAAGCGAGCTGATGCGGTAAATTCCTTAAAGCTTGCGTACGCCCCCTTGCGACAGTTTCTCACATAATGCCAGCGCATTAAAAAATGTGTTTCGTTCAGTGGCGAAGTTTGAAGTGTGCACATTTCACCGTCAAGTTCAACTATAGTTTACAGGCGGTTACAGCCGGCCCACTATACTCCGTCGGTGTCGCTGTTTTGAGGTCACGTACGTCACTGCTAACAGTGCTCCCAATTTTTGCCACCGGTATCAATTAGCACGCGATCGACCGTGAGGCTGAATCTTAACCCCCAGAATGTCTACACTACACTCGCGCAGCGTAGTTTCCAGATGCCGCCGAGCTAACGAGAAAATAATCATACCCACCCCCTCTCCCCATAAAAAAAAAACAGCGCTGCGATATTTTGCGAAGGATTTCGAAAAAAGCGCTGTTTATATGTACTTTCTTCATTCGTGAAAGTATCTTCAATTACACGAAAAAAAAACTTGTTCGAATACGAAGGTGAAAACTAAGTTCACTTATTTCTGCACCGTGGAAATATGCGCAAATATACATAGACGAAATCGCATATAGGCTTTTAAACATATTCTCTAGTGTAGCGTCCGCTCTGTTCATTGCACATTTACTAATCTGTGAATAACGTAATTGTTGGCTCTCTCAACGTATGTTAAAACAGTCACCATAATTGCCTTCACGGGGCGAAATCCACGCTGTGATTGTGAGGCACACCGTGTAGTGAGGAATCATGGATTTCATTTCGACCACCTTGGTGGGGAGGGGGGGGGGGATGTGATTTTAAAGAAAAGAAGAGAAAAGTGAGCCCCGTAACGGTCTCTCAGGGGGAGGACACCTCAACAGTAGCTGACGAGGGATGGGGGTAGAGAAGTGAATAAAGGGTTCCTTAACGTGCTCCTATATAGGCACACGGGTGTTCTTCGCACTTCGCCCCCGTCGAAACGCGGCCGCCGTAGCCGGGGATCGAACTCGCGACCTCGAGCTTAGCAGCGCGAAGACGTAGGTGCTAAGCTACCGCGGCAGGCGCACGGTTGATTTCAATTTTCAACTGAGACGAAGTCCTACGACGAACGCATGATTATTGAATCCCAAGAGCACCGAACTAACTGTATTTGGAAAAGAATTGCGAAGTAACCCCTCCTACCCCCCGATAACGCGGCAGACTGAAAAATTCTACAAGTGCCGATAAAAAAAAATGACCGAATCCGTTTATTCTAATCGGAACTAGACAACTACGCCGCTCAAAATTTGTTTGCTTATTCTGCTTTTTTGTACAGAGAAGTCTCGGTGACGTAAGGTATACGCATGTCTCGATAATCGCCCCTTTTCCGTTCTCTCTCTCTTCCTTTCTCTCTCTCTTTCTTTCTCTTTCCCTCTGTCGAGTCGTTCTATGCGCGCTAATGACTTCGCGATGACCGGGTGTCACATTGCCCCCGCGAGCATCGGCTATCGATACGCGTCGCATTCAACAAACGCGTCCCACACGTGGTGCAAGTCGAGTATGTTGCTGTTCGCATCCATTTAGAGATGCGGCATCTCGATAAGCGAGCCGCCTATAGCAGCTGTTGCGTGCCGCGGACTAGAAATCAGATTACGGTTCTGGGGTCACTCCGTCTGCGTGCTCGCGATTATGAAATTTAATGCTCCGGTCCGGGAGTGTTTTAAGCGCTTTATGGGCTCGTGTAACTTCTATACGGCGAGAACAAAAAAGAGGAAAAAAAAAACAAAGCACGATGGGGTTTCACTTCCAGATACCGTGAGAAAAAAAGACACTGATATATTCAATGGAGGATCGCGAAAAAGGTGGCGTTTATTGAAAGTTGGATCGTTTCGTGTTCGTAACGTTTTTTTTTTTTTTTTTTTTCAGTTGAACGGTGCGAACGCTCAGATGGAATTCAGTTGCGAACGCTCAGATAACGGGAAAATTGGAAAATATTTAAGCCGCTCGACTTCCTGCATTGTTGCTAAACCATTTATGCACACGGTGGTGTTGAATGAGCGCGGATAATAGATTCTGTGTCTCTTATCGCTAAATAACCTTCAGAAACACTTTCCACGCAAATGCAGTGGTTTAATAAGACGCTTTTGTTTCAGTCGATAAAATATTCTGCCCGGACTTTGCGGTCGCATTTCACTGATTGCGCAGCGTTTGGCATATCGTCGTCGATCCTTTCTTGTGCCTTCATCTCATCTATGTTTCCATGTGCATTCGAGCTTAACTGTACTTCGACTTGGCGATCATATATTCTTTCTGCTCGACTAAAATTTAGCACTAGTCGCCGTGGTGGTGCTGTGGTTAACGGTTACCATCTATACTGACCCGAAATGCGCAGGGTTCTATCCCGGCCGTGGTGGCAGCGTTAAGATGGAACTGAAATGCTAGAGAGTAGTGTACTTAAACCTCTACATGTGAACCTTTAAGAAAACTCGGGTGGCCGAAATTTCCAGAGAATTCGCACTACGACGCGCCTCATAATTATGCCGTGGTGTTCGTACGTAAAACCGCACGAGTTATGTTAAAGCACAGTCTCATTATCCATAAGAAATCTTACAGTTTCGGAATTGTACGTATGAGCGTCTGCTGCCAGTGATTAGCACAGTTCAGTGGCACATTTCACTGCTGACTGCAATAGGACCTCCACTCAGGGTCTTCCTTAATGAATGCCTTTGAATCAAATATTTCAATGTCGATAAATCGGAAAGTCACAGAATTCCTTATGGATTCCTTATGGATTCGCCTGAGTTGACTCGAAGAAGAAATCCATCTTTTCCTTGTCACTAAAATACAAAGGCGCGTACACTCTAAAAAAAAAATATCCAGTAAAAAGGGTGTCTTTTTGTCCCACAACAATAATCGTCCTCAGAGGCTTGCGTGCGCTTCCTTTCTTGAAAACTCGGCGCTGGCCACTTTCCTATCGAGAATGCAATGTAACCCTGATAATGGGCATGTCGATCGTGACCGGAATTTACCGGGAGCGGGGTGATA